CTTGTAGTTCTGCCTCTATATCAGGGTGGCAACACGCCAAGACTTATTGAAAGATTAAAAAATTTGAAAAGATAATAATAAATACTAATTTTTTTTTGAAAGGTGGTGGTTTCAGACAAAATAAAACATCAAAATCTGTTTTAAATACACTTAATTAAATAACAATAAAAAGTGTTATTATGTAGACAACACTCCTTCATAGTTGTGTGCTTTGGTTTTCCGAAAGAAGTCTATTCGTGGGATTCTGGATTTTGAGGAAGTATGTTTTAAAGCAGTGATTCCCAAAGTGGTCTATATAGACCCCCAGGGGTCTATGACGACTTCCAAGGGGTCTACGTCAGCCGAAAATTAATTTGGGAGTCCACGAGGTGCAAGTGGGGGTCTATGTGATACCGGCTCTCATTAAACTAAATCGTGATTTTTATTTATAATCATGTGTATGCCAAATTTTATCTATATATATTTAACAGATTTATTTACTAAATTGAATGAGGTTAATTTTCACCATGAACCATTTCAACTTTTCTTTCCTGGTTTAAGCTAAAGAAGTATTATAATACTGGAGGTCCCGAATTTTCTAAATTTGTCACAGACAATCTATCAAAACATTTTAACTTACGTGCAACATTTAAATGCCTTTTATTCAGATTTGGAAACCAGATTTGAGAATGCTTTGACTATGGCAACATCAAAGTAGGCAATGAATTCATATGGTCATATTGAAAAACAATGTCACATTACAATATGAACTATAATAAGCACTAACGAAGATCTTAAAGTTTAGATACGGATGCCAGCAAATTTGGCTTTAAAAAGTCAAACCTGTTATTTCTCCCGACTTATGGAATATTGTAAGGGAGTTTTTCATTGCTTTTCCTTGAAGAAAAAAAAACTGGACACTACTAACAGAGGAGATTTAAAATTAAACCAGACAAGATTGATACCAAATGTTGAAAATTTGATATTGTAGTGCTAGAGATTCATCTCTCCCATTAAAATAATTTGTTTGTTGTATAGTTAGTGTATTTAACAGTTTTATTTATTAATAAACTTTTAATTTAATTAACAAGGGCTTTTAAAATTTTAAGCACTATACTTCATTACAGTTGGAAATTTAATTCTTTTAAAGTAGAAGTAGTAGTATCAGCTGTCAAAAAGACATTTAAGTTGATAAATTTGAAAAAATTCAATATTAATTAAACAGGGATCTACCCCAAACCGAAAAACATGGAAAGGGGTCTATGAGACAAAAAAGTTTGGGAACCTCTGTTTTTTAAAGTATCTGGAAGAAAACAATGAATTGCCTAGCGAATGCCTTCTTCTCAAGAATGAAGATAGGCTTTGAGATTTAGGTTTTCTTACCGATACAAGACATTTAAATTTAAGATTACAAGGAAAGGATTGTTCTTTTACAATCCTGATTGATCTTGTATCTTCTTTGGTGAACACACTCTAGACTGTTTTACTTCTTCTGGATTTTGGAGAGAAAAAAAGAGAAACTGATGCACACCTAGAACAATCCGATTCTGTTAGCATCTTCGAGAACTGGTCCTAATGTAGATGACTCAGTAAAAAACCTACGAAATAAAAAATAAAAAAACCACAATAAGAAAGTACCGACTGTTTAATAATTATTTAGAAATAAATTTTTCTTGTTACTAATTTTTATTTTATACCTTGTGACGGATCTATACGCGTTTCTACTAATTTTTTCTTTTTTCTTTAAAACAAAGTATTTATTTCAACCAACCTTCATCGAGAAACCAAACGAGGTTTATGTAAATGAGGAATATTATATAAATTCTGTTTTCGCGAGTTGAAAAGAGTGAAGTAAGAGGTTAAGTTAAGTGAAGCAAGTGATCTGTTGCCACGTAGTTATTGACAAGCTGAAGTTGATACGTTTGATGTGTGCAAGTAGAAGTGATTAGTGAAGATTGAAAAGTAGTGGAATTAAAGATTACACAGCGTGGAGCCATCGTCATTTAATCAAACTAAAGAAAGTGCCAGAGGTTTCCCGTGAAGGATCCGAAGCATTAAGGAACCAGGTATCGTAAACTTGATTAAGTAAAAGCTGATTATTAGTGTGCGGCGTAGTTGTAAATAAGCGTATTTAAGCTGTCTTAGATTCAGTTGAGGTTCTGTAATATTATCCCCGCATTAGAATATCTCACTTCTGCACTCTACCATTGTTTATATACCTTAATTAGAATTGTGTTGTGTCTGTTTCATAATCATTAATAAGAATTAATCAATCAAATTAGATTGAAATAATGTCTGTGGATTATTTAGTTCCTCCTACAGATCTAGCCGGGTTTACAGATAGACAGGAGGGTTCGGATGTAAGGAGTAACCAGGGGTTACCACAACCTAACCTAATTAATTGAAATTGAAAAGAAACTTTTAACAATAAAACTTAAGCTCGTACTCTTTTGTCTTATTTATCATATTATTTTTAAATTTCCACTACGTTAACTTGCATAAAATATGTACTTAGCGTAAAAATTTCATAATAAGCCCATAAGTAACATTTTTTTATCTTTTTATATTCCTTTGTTTGTTGTAAAAGTTTAAAGTGGCACGCATAACTTTTTATCATCAGATTGTGGCACTCTTCCCAAAAAGGTTGACCACCCCTGCTCTATGTATTAAGAAAATAATCATGACAATTAAAAATTATTGGCTAAAAATTATCCGTCTTGGGGCCCAAAATCTGACTTTACAGGGGGGTGGGGGTGGGACTAATTATTCTCCGTTACGTCACTGGATTTTAACGCGGAAATCGACAATGAAACTCTTATCGAATCTGTTACATTTTCTAATGTTTTAATTTTTTGGGGGGTGAGTGAGAGAATAATAACTTCGCACTGATTAGCAACACGAGGGCTTTTGGCGACGGTCCGCGTAATTTTGAACCATGGTCAAGTGACGCGGACGACACCTGAGCTGGCACCCCTCTCTCCTAACTACCACACCACACCAACGGGAGGACGTTTGAGCTCTCTCGACAGATTTAACGTGCATCGCGCCCCTACACGGCGGATCTTTAGTGGTACTAGGATTGAGCTCATGGCACGCTAGCCATGATCCGATGCCTAGACCACTCGGCCTTTTAATTTTTTTGGAAACTGCAACTGCGTAAACATAAATCTCTCTTATGCAACAGGATGTAAATGATGCAGTATTTCCTTCTATTCACGAAGTCGAAAAAGATCTCTTTCCAGTCAAGAACTAAAAAGATTTTCAAACATCTATTTGTTAGTGATAAATCACTTAGAAACCCTCGACCTCTCGTCCCTAAAAAGCCTGTGGTAACGTTCGGTTACCTCTTACATCCGAACCCTCTTGTTTACCTGTAAATCCGGCTAGATGTGTAGGAGGAACAGAATAATCCATAGACATTATTGCCAATCTAATTAATTTACTAATTCTTATTTATAATTATCAAACAGACACAATACAATTCTAATTAAGGTATATGAATTACAGTAGAGTGCGGAGGTGAGATTCTATAACACGGGGATACTACTACAGACCCTCAACTGAATCTAAGAGAGCTTAAAGACGCTCAAATATAACTACGTCGCACACTAATAACTAGCTTCTACTTAATCAAATATACAGTACCTGAACCTTTAACACATCAGATCCTACACTGGAAACTTGCAGGTGATTTCTATTGGCTTGATCGATGTCGTTGGATCCACGCTCTGTAATCTTTAATTAATTCCACTGCTTTTCAATCTTCACTTAAAACTAATTCTCAAACTTCTGTTAAACTCCTATTTGCACACATCTAACGTATCCACTTCAGCGTGTCAACAACAACGTGTAAACAAATCACTTCCTTCCTTCCTTACTGCCAACTCGCGAAAACCAAATTTATATAATATACCTCATTTACATAAATCACGTTTGCTTACTCGATGAAAATTGTTTGAATTAAATATTTTGTTTAAAGAGATACGAAGATATTAATGGATCCGCGTATAGATCCGTCACAAGCTTAGACAAGCGGTACTTGAAAATTTGCATTTCCTATCACATCCTGGAATTTCAGCTACTACTAATTTAATCTCTAAGCGTTTCTTTTGGCCAGGAATGAGTAAAGACATTAAAAACAGAGTTCGAGCTTGTGAAAAACGTCAGCGAGCGAAAGTATTCAAACATACCAAAGCTCCACTTAGCTCATTTGCTCTACTAGATGCTCGATTTGCACATATTCATATTGACTATATTGGACCATATCCACCATCCAAAGAATATAAATATTGTCTTACTATTATAGATAGGTATACCAGGTGGCCTGAAGTTATTCCTACTGAAAACATGTTGGCAGAAACCACTACTCGTGCACTTTTAAATGGTTGGATTTCCCGTTTCGGCACACCTGTTACAATTACAACTGATCAAGGAACAAATTTTGAATCTTCTCTTATGAGAAAGCTTAAAAACATGTTGGGCAGCCATAGAATCCATTCAGCTTCTTACCATCCCCAAAGTAATGGAATGAAAGAACGATTCCACAGGCATCTCAAAAGTGCTAATATTGCCCATGAGGACACTGATTGGTCCGATATTTTGCCTATCGTACTGTTAGGATTACGTTCAGCAATGAAAAACGATTTAAAAGCAACAAGCTCTCTTTAAAATTTCCAGTTAACTGGTGCGTATTAATTCTCTAATAGTAATTTTAGCTGTTGAATAAAAATGTAATTTGTAACAATGGATGTATTTTTCACAATTCCTGCTATTAGTTCACACTTTCCCTATACATATTTATTTATATATATAATTATCTTGTTCAAATTTTCAATCTTTAATAAAATGCTTTTATTCATTCACTCAAGTTGAAATACATATTTTTAAACTTGTAGTGGATGACACTTGATGTTAATAACAGTTTTTTTCAAATATTAATTCATTAATTAGATATAATTAATGAATAAAAAGAAATAAAAATAGTTTAACACCATATATAAAAAAGGAAAATCGCTCATTGTGTCCTTGTAGCGCAATGGATTGCGTGTTGGACTTCTAATCCAAAGGTCGTGGGTTCCAATCTCACCAGGAATGGCTTAATTTCTGAGAATGTGATTTCTTTTCGTTATGCTATTTTATTGGAATAATTAAAATTAATTAATGAATAAAATGGTAACAAACAAAAATAATACTCTAACACAGTATATAGAAGGGGAAAATGGAAAAAATTGCAAGGAAAATCGCTTTCTATTTTGTCACTAAAAATTGTCATTCTGTCATATATGTATATAAACACATTTATATTAATTGTAACTATTTAATAAAAAGTAACTAAAATAAAATTTTTCTTTGTTGACCTAAGCAGGAATTGAGACTTAAAATTTTTTTTTGATATTATTCCCTGTCTCTGTTTAATTTAAATTTGACATAATTTTTGAGATCTCATAATACATGTTTATGTTTAGGTACCATTTTTAAAAATGTATCCCTTATATATGTAATATTTTTTTACCCATATATAAAACAATACACAAAATATAGTAAACCTATTTTTTTAGTTAAATATTAGGATAGTTTCTTTAAAAAAATTATAAAAATTTGTAATTTTGAAAAATTTTATTCCCCACCACTCTTTTCATACATAAAACTTCTTTTTTAAAAACTATGTACTACTTACACTAAAAAAAAAATGGATTAACTATATGCACAGATATCCTGTATAGTATAAAAAAATTTGGAACAATATAATGCAATAATTATTTTAAAAGTGTACTTAAAGGCAAAAATTATGCTTTGGAGAAAAAGTGAAACAAGATATCAATCATTGGCATGGTCAAGTAATTTTAGCGCGTTTTTCACATGTTGTATTTTACAATAATGCAACTGATGAACTTTTTACTAACACAGAAAGTATATAGTACTATACTTTTTAAAAAAATTTTTAAAAACAATTTTAAATTAAATTTTTTTAAAAATAATTTTAAAATTATTAAATTTAAATATGATTCGGCTTATCTAGGGCACAAATGCCAAAAACCTGAGGTCAATCGGTTAATTATTGGCTGAGAAAAAGGTAAGACAAAATTTGGAACGAAGACGAAATTTGCGTCCTAATAGCGCATTTTTTACACTACGTGAAAAGATGCTAAAAACTAAAAGTAGCAATGCTTTCACATTGACAACCTTTTCCTGCTTACTTTTATATACCTCATATGATACTTTAAACCTTTTCTAGATTTATAAAAATAATTTCAAATTAAAATTTTTTCCCCTTTGTTAGAGCTGTGTGTGAATATAATTTTATCAAACATATTTTTTCATTTAGGTACCATTTTTTATATAAAAATATTTCTTTAATATACAAAATTTATTCAAATAGTTTTTTGATAAAATTATTGCATAATTTCTCTGAAAAAGCCCAAAAACTTTCAAGTTTTGAAAATCTTGATTTTTTTTCCCCTTTTTTCACATTTAAAACTATTTGTTCAAAAAAATTAAGACATTAAAAAGAGGAAAAATATTATTGTTCCTTTCTAGTAAAAACAAATTAATGGGGTTACATACATTAAACACAAGATGAACTATCTTTTAAAATGTGTCAAAAGAGGCGTGGTAGTTTGTTTACATTTTTATCAATTGATTTTTTCATACTTTAAGATTATTTTATCATCGAACATTTAAGTGTTACACATTATTAAATTCAGAAAAATATGCACATTTTTTAAAACTAAAATTGAAAAATCGATTTTTTGAAATGCGTATGATGTCCTAGTTTCCTTAAGATTTTTTTTTTTTATTTTATATCAATTTGGATGGAGATATTTCCTTTATTTTAAATTTTATTCTTGTTGTTGTTGTCGTGTATGACAAAGTGCAAAGTGTATATAACAAAATAAAGATATAGAAATGAATCAAATATTGCCAAAGGCGTGAATCACTGCCGTGGCAACATCCATAGCACGATCCGAGTATAGGATGTCCCTGATGTAGTCATTGTCTATTTTAAAAAGGGCACCAACAATGGAAGGACTGCTAAAAAGGTGTTTGGGATCCAGTTGCTTGCCTGGGCAGTGCCTGCATTCCACATATGATCTGGATCCATCAGGCAGAATCTTCATGCCCTTAAAATGTTTTGTCCTTAGTCTGGTTATTGCTGTTGTAATTTCTCGGCTATAATTTAATTCTGGCAGCGAGAACTTTTTTCGTGGGTTCGAGCAGAGCTTTTGTTTTGCGACTGCGTTGGCATCAAAGACCTTAGTCGAAGAAGTTACAGGTTATTCTTAAAAACTTTAAGAATTGAACACACAGGAATTTAAACTCCCAAACAGTGTTAGAATGAAATTGTGCTCAAGGATAATTTTATATGAGGGTTTTCCCCCATTTTCTTCTCGAGCTTTTTTAAAGCGAAACCGTTTTATAAATGTACCTTTTAATACGAGGTTTTCCTATACTCTTAAGTTCAGTAATATTCTACATATTATGAACAATTAGCAAATATATTCTTCATATTATGAACAATTAGCAAATATATTCTGCATTAAAATTTGGAAATTTTAAATAAACAGCTATCTGAATTTATAAAAGAGTAAAAAAAAAAAGTTTTCCCTAATTGAAGCAAATAAAAATTTGTATCTAAATTACAATTCAGTTTTTCACTAATACCTCGAGTTACACGACCCCCCGAATTACGCTTGTAGCCGCGGTAGCCAAGGTATCGGATCATGGCTGGCGTGTCATGAGTTCGAGCTCAGTACCACTGAAAACCCGCCGCGTAGGGGAGCAATGACGTTAAATATGTTGAGAGCTCAAACGTCCTCCCTTTGGTGTGGTAGTTAGGAGAGGGTGTCGTCCTCGTCACTTGACCATGGTTCAAAATTACGAGGTCCGTCGCCAAAAACCCTCCTGTAGCTGAACAGTGCGACGTTAATAATCACTCACTCACAGCCCGACTTAGGTGAACCCGGAGTTACGCGATTTTCATATCTCTTCGACTCATCTTTTGTTTGAGAAAAAAATTGGTAAAATTGATAATGTGATTGAAGAAGTTGGCGAGAATAAATCACTATATCCACTTCTAAGTGGATAGTGATGACGTTGAAGAATTGCTGGATTCCCACAATCAGGAGCTGACAATTGTGAGTTCATAGAAATGCATGAGCAAGACATTGAAGAACTTGAGCCTTGGGGTACTCAACCTTTTTTTCTGGCGTGCCGCATACATATGTTAGCTATTTCACACAGGCCGCAACATGAGCATTGCTCTAAGACCGTGGGTGGGGGGGGGGGAGAAATGCTCTAAGACCAACATAACATAGAAAATTTGAAATGTGGAAATTGATCAAAATATTAAACTCCTATTTTGCCTTTTTTAACTATTATTTTTTTATTTTTGGCAGAAAATTTTTCTACATTGGAAGCACACATTTAACTTAAAAATCACTTTTTCATAATTTCTGCATCAGTAAAAGGTTTCATATGGTATGATTACCAATAATGTAACAAATTTCATAGGGTACCTTTGTCATTGCTGTGACATTATCACTGACAGAACACTTTTTTGCTGTCGTAAAGATTATTCATGAAAGCCCCTATTTATCCCGTCTTGAAAGAGAACTTCGAGGAAAAGTGTGTAGCCGCGGTAGCCTAGTGGTCAAGGTCAAGGTTTCGGATCGTGGCTGACTTGTCACGAGTTCGAGCCCACACCATTAAAGACTCACCGTATAGGGGAGCGATGTATGTTAAATTTGGTGTGGTAGTTAGGAGAGGAGGTGATAGCTCAGGTGTAGTCCTCGTCACTTTACCATGGTTCAAAATTACGAGGTCCGTCGCCAAAAGCCCTCGTGTTGCTAAATAGTGCGACGTTAATATTCACTCACTCGAGGAAAAGTGTCATTGAATGATACCTGTTTATATATTGGTATTTTTTAAACACAACACTTTCGTGTCAAATCAAACAATTACTGAACCATGCTTGTTTTTCACTACAAAATAGTCACCTTTCCAATTATCTTGAACCAATCTATTTTCTTCGAATTTTTTTTGTTTGCAAGGAAGACAGTTAAAAATTAGCTCCACCCATAAAATGGTCGCTACTCCACTGTTGTCTGTCATCACTAACTGTTACCGTTCCAAAAAGAAAAAGTATCAATTCGTATCCTTATGACACCAACAGTAAAAAGCAAAATTGAATATTGACAAAGAATTTTCCCCCAAATTTTTAATACATAGTTAAAAATTAGCTCCACTCATAAAATGGTCGCTACTCCACTGTTGTATATTATCGCTAATCAGGAATAAATATCAATTCGCACCCATACGACATCGACAGCAAAAATGATATATTTGATTTTTAACAAAGAATTTTCCACCAATTTTTCAGAGCAATGGGGCGTGATAGGGCCACTTAAAAAGGCCCGATGGGCCGCATGCGGCCTACAGGTTTAGTATCGCTGCTTTAGACCCACTTCAATCCGAAGATCGGATGACGATATAATGGGGAAATTTGACTAAAGGCCTCAGTTTAATTGAAAAAGGCTAACAAATTTTAAAATGCATGCAGAGATGAGTGTATTTTTTCAGCTAAGCATGGATTTAAAAAATATTAGCATACTATGAAGAAATTTTGCGTGAGAAAAAAAAAAAATCTTTGAGCCGGAAGATTACTTTGTCAGATTTTATTAAGCTGTCTACATCAAAATGGCTTTGGTTTGCGATTTTGTATTTGCGTTAACTAAAATTTTATTACATATTTTTCCTCTAAATTATTATTTTCTTTAATTTCCAGTTACAAATAATTTATAAATGAAATCATATCCCGACTTACACTTAGCGATTATCACTAGATCCAACCTATCGCGTAAGTTAGGGATATTACAGTCCTTTTCGAAATAATTTTTGGAAGATTATGATGCCTTCAAGCTAATATAAACATTACTTGTACATATTACACAAATATATTCTGTATGTATATAAGAGCCGATTGAGAAACACACACACATATATATATTTTAATAATTAATCCATATTAATTAGAAGATAAAACGTACCAAACTGATATCATAAAACTACATATGGTTTTAAATTTTAACACAAAA